GCAAACACACTGCGTGTCTGGTGTGTCACACATGTTTGTGTGGAGCTGTTGTGATAGTTTGGACCCTGCGGGGAACATTCCTTTCATCTGGGGCCCTCTGGCTGATCCCCACCTCTCCTTGTAGCTGCCCTGGTGTGAGGGGGGCAAACAGATGCAGCAATGGCAGAGTTCGATAAAGTCAGCTTGATATTCACAGATTCGGACTTCCGCCATGAATATCTCACGAAAGCAACGTTGTTAAACGAAAGTAATGGTGCCAAAATGATCACCTCTACTTAGGCTAACTACTACAACATCGATTTTTCAAATCCAATGCGCTGTTTTAATGCGGAGAAATCCATTCAATCCAAGTGCCGAGAAAAGCGCATAGGGAGCGTCAACAAGTATCAATACCAGCTTTGTAAACGAACAATAGCTGTTACTTGAAGCCATGTACACGCACAGAACTCTAGGACACAATAAATAACTAACACTTCTAACTTGTACAACCTTTGTTTTCAGCATTTGTCTCTTTTTTTATATTTTTTATGATGAAATATGACTACTAATCTTGAATAACTTTTTTTCTAAAAGGGGCGTGGTCACCAAATTCTCAGGTATGATCAATAACTACAATATCTAACTACTACAACTTTCGTTTTCAGCAGAAATATCTTTTTTATATTTTTTATGATTAAATATAAATATGAATTTTGAATAACTTTTTTTCAAAAAGGGGCGTGGTCACCAAATTCTCAGGTATCATCAATAACTGCCATATCTAACTACTACAACTTTTGTTTTCAGCAGAAATATCTTTTTTATGATAAAATATAAATATGAATTTTGAATAACTTTTTTTCAAAAAGGGGCGTGGTCACCAAATTCTCAGGTATCATCAATAACTGCCATATCTAACTACTACAACTTTTGTTTTCAGCAGAAATATCTTTTTTATATTTTTTATGATTAAATATGAATATGATTTTTGAATAACTTTTTTTCAAAAAGGGGCGTGGTCACCAAATTCTCAGGTATCATCAATAACTGCCATATCTAACTACTACAACTTTTGTTTTCAGCAGAAATATCTTTTTTATATTTTGTATGATTAAATATGAATATGAATTTTGAATAACTTTTTTTCAAAAAGGGGCGTGGTCACCAAATTCTCAGGTATGATCAATAACTGCCATATCTAACTACTACAACTTTTGTTTTCAGAAGAAATATCTTTTTTATATTTTTTATGATTAAATATGAATATGAATTTTGAATAACTTTTTTTCAAAAAGGGGCGTGGTCACCAAATTCTCAGGTATCATCAATAACTGCCATATCTAACTACTACAACTTTTGTTTTCAGCAGAAATATCTTTTTTATATTTTTTATGATTAAATATGAATATGAATTTTGAATAACTTTTTTTCAAAAAGGGGCGTGGTCACCAAATTCTCAGGTATCATCAATAACTGCCATATCTAACTACTACAACTTTTGTTTTCAGCAGAAATATCTTTTTTATATTTTTTATGATTAAATATGAATATGAATTTTGAATAACTTTTTTTCAAAAAGGGGCGTGGTCACCAAATTCTCAGGTATCATCAATAACTGCCATATCTAACTACTACAACTTTTGTTTTCAGCAGAAATATCTTTTTTATATTTTTTATGATTAAATATGAATATGATTTTTGAATAACTTTTTTTCAAAAAGGGGCGTGGTCACCAAATTCTCAGGTATAATCAATAATTAAAATATCTCATGGGTTTGACCATGCAGGTGGAGGTTTGGAGCCTCGGCTTCCTCTCTCCTCATGGTTCAGAGTCGTCTCCTGCTTCAAGAGGCTCTCTGTTTCTGATTCAGACCACTCCTCAGATTGTGCTTCCTCTGCTTTTTTCATGTATGTGCGTGTGTTTTCTGAGGGTTGTGGTATTGTTTACTTGTTTGTTAACACTTGTTTGTGTTACATCCTTGTTATTATTATTATTGACACGTGAAGGTCAGATAGAGAGTATAAGCACCAGTAAGACCTAACCCCACCTCTCATGGGCACAATGATTTAAACTGATAGATTAGTCTATAATCTCAGCCTTATTTTACTGGTGGTGGTCATGCCAAGGGAAGGAACTGTTTTAAACCTATTATTTATTATTCACATGTTTTTCAAATATTCTGCAATTTAAATATATATGTATAAAAAGAAGATATTTCGTTTGTATAAAAATGAATGTGTAAGCACTTAACATTACAACTACAGTGATGATGGTGGTGGTGGTGATGGGGACGATGGGGGGGCTGTCTGGTTACGTGGCGCATACCTATGTGTGCTTATGGGTGAGCATATGTACATTTATATCTATAATAATAATCCTACACCTGTTCTTCCTTTCATTTCATATATAATAATAGCAGAATAATAATGAATATTAGTGTATATGTATATATATACATATATTTATATTAGGGCTGTCAAACAATTACATTTTTTTAGTTGATTAATCGCATAGTAATGGTGAGTTAAATCAAGATTAATCGCATTTTTAACATTCTATTTCAAATCCACTCCAATTGAAGTTAAATGAGATTTACAAATGTAATGACACATTGTTATTCATACCAAATGTACTTAAATCTGTTTGAAGTAAGTAAGTAAGTAATGTTTATTTATATACCGCCTTTCACAGACCAGAGTCACAAAGCGGTTTACAATTGTTATTTTTGGGCATTTGTCTCTCACTCCACACAGAGATGGGAGCGGGGTCGCCGAAAAGGAGGCGCATGCCAGACCTATATTGTACATATCTTTAGCGGTAGGGGAAACCGGAGTAGCCGGAGGAAACCTACGCAGACACGGGGAGAACATGCAAAACTCCACTCAGAAAGGCCCTGGTCCGGCCGGGATTCGAACCAAGGACCTTCTTGCTGAGAGGCGAGAGTGCTATCCACTCAGCCACCGTACTGTGTAGTACTATTTCATTATAAAAAATATAAAAAAGAGACAAATGCTGAAAACAAAGGTTGTAGTAGTTAGATATGGTAGATATTGATCATACCTGAGAATTTGGTGACCGCGCCCCTTTTAGAAAAAAAGTTATTCAAGATTTGTAGTCATATTTCATCATATTTAATCATAAAAATATAAGAAAGACAAACATGCTGAAAACAAAAGTTGTAGTAGTTAGATATGGCAGTTATTGATCATACCTGAGAATTTGGTGACCACGCCCCTTTTTGAAAAAAAGTTATTCAAAATTCATATTCATATTTAATCATAAAAAATATAAGAAAGACAAACATGCTGAAAACAAAAGTTGTAGTAGTTAGATATGGCAGTTATTGATGATACCTGAGAATTTGGTGACCACGCCCCTCTTTGAAAAAAAGTTATTCAAAATTCATATTCATATTTAATCATAAAAAATATAAAAAAGATATTTCTTCTGAAAACAAAAGTTGTAGTAGTTAGATATGGCAGTTATTGATGATACCTGAGAATTTGGTGACCACGCCCCTCTTTGAAAAAAAGTTATTCAAAATTCATATTCATATTTAATCATAAAAAATATAAAAAAGATATTTCTTCTGAAAACAAAAGTTGTAGTAGTTAGATATGGCAGTTATTGATCATACCTGAGAATTTGGTGACCACGCCCCTTTTTGAAAAAAAGTTATTCAAAATTCATATTCATATTAAATCCTATTTATTCATAAAAAATACAAAAAAGAAACAAATGCTGAAAACAAAGGTTGTAGTAGTTAGATATGGTAGCTATTTATAGTATTTGAGAGTTTAGTGCGTGTACTTGGCTTAAAATAAAAACTATTGTTCGTTTACACAGCTGGTATTGGCATTTGTTGACGCTCCCTAAGTGCTTTTCTCGGCACTTGCGGCGCATTGGATTCAATGGATTTCTCTGCATTAAAACAGCGCATTGGATTAGAAAAATCGATGTTGTAGTAGTTAGCCCATGTAGAGGTGATCATTTTGGCACAATTACTTTCGTTTAACAACGTAGCTTTCGTAAGATATTCACCGCGGAAGTCCGAATCTGTGAATATCAAGCTAACTTTACCGAACTCAATGGCAGATGGCGCCCAACTCAAATCAGGTCCATACTTCAAGTCCAATGTCGACTCAGACCCGTCCCCTGGCTCAGTAATTGAGTTTAGATCAAAGCCATTTGTGCCTCGCTCAAGGTCTACGGCTACTCAACTTTTAGAAATAACACAAACACTTCCGCAGTGACCTCCAGTGATCTCTCTCCACCTTCCTCTCCCTGCGGCATCCAGTCTCAAAACCTGCTCTGAGGGCTGTAGTCGTCACATGCACTCAATCACAAACTCAGGGCAAAACGTATCAACGTACCAACATGGAAACATTCCCTTATTCGGAGAAAAACAAAATGTAAACATTGATGAACATTGATATTTATGAGCAGCCTTTCAAAAACATACACAAATAAATAAATTATGTTTAACAATAAGTTTGTGTAAGCCCTCAGTCGTACAGGGATTAGTCAAAGCAATTCCCTGAAGAATTCCCCCAGGTTGAGGACGAAACGTCGGGAAAACTTGCTAAGAAGTACAGATGATGGGTGAGAAACCTTCCTTTGCTATGTTTAACAATAATAAATTAAAATAACATGTATCACTTTCTATAAAATAGGTAAAAAGTAACAAAATAAAAAATAGTGGGGTACTAGACTAACATTTCTCATGAGTGGGTTCCATGGATGTATTGGGATGGCTCCTTCCTCTCAATGTATATATTTGGGTAAAGGTCGCCCTCTTGTGTTCATGAAATGTAAATCTCATTCTGAAAGTACTCAGTACTGCATGAAATCCAAAGGCAGCAGTAGTCTTTGTGGATACTGTGCAATATAAAAAACATCCTAAAAAAGGAGTGACGAGTGAAATCCACTTTTTTCCAGTAAAAAATGTGTTCATTTTCAAGTTTGGGAGCTGCAAATTTAAGTAAACTTGACAGATAGTATTTGTTGTAGAAATAAATAACTACTTCCTCCTCCGTGACATTCGCAGGCGTCCGATGGTGGTGGTGAAGGGCAGAGCTGAGCGTTCACACAGAGACTGGCCCGTGTCCTCCTCCTGGTCCACCTCAGCGGAGCACACGGACAAAGACGAGGTGTCACTCTGCTGCTGACAGTCCGGCAGAGACGCGGTGGACAGAGACGCCTCACTCCCCTCACTGTCTCTGCCCAGACCCTCCAGATGAGCCTGGAAGGTCAGGGTCTGCTGCTCCACGGACAAGAAGTTCTCCTGCAGTCTGTCAAACTAAACCAAAAAGTCATATAAAAGTTGTTTTCAGTTTCTGGGTACCCAACTTTTTGTCTCATATTTAATACAGTGTGTATATTTCCATATAAAAAAGTCCATATACAGTCTATACAAAAGTTATATTCAAATCAGATTTATTAGTCTTAGTAAGTAATCTCTATTTTTTTAGAGCCTTTAGCCGACCAGAGTCACAAAGTCTGCAATACAATTGTTGTGGGCATTTTTTTCTCACTCCACACATAGGAGCATGGTCTGAATCCGGAGGCGCATGCCAGACCTATTGAACATGTTTTTAGTGGTAGGGGAAAACAAAGCCCCCCAGAGGAAACCGGAGCACCCGGAGGAAACCTACGCAGACGTGGGGAGAATATACAAACTCCACACAGAAAGGCCTGGACCTACTTGCTGTGAAGCACTAACCACTGCCCAATGTGTGTTGCTGTAAGGGGGGGCAAGTTTGTGTAATAAACTCACAAAAGAATTGAAAAGCTGTTTAAATTCAGTCTACAGTTCATAACATACCTTCATTGCACATGTTTAACATGTTTCCTTGTTCCTGTTGTTTGCACTGCCTGATGCATACATGAGTGATCTTACTGACACCAAACGCAGCATGACAATTTCTCCATTGTGAGATCAATTAAGTTTTATTTTATCTTAATGTTTTGTGTTTGTGAACATAATAATTAGTGAAAATGTACTGTCTGTGAGTGAAGTTGGTTTACAGACATAAGCCTCCATCATCCTCCTTTTAAACCAAGCAGACTTTCCATTTATAATTACATCTTAAACATCTTTTTAGTACATCTGCAGGTTTGAAATCTTTAAGTAAGTAAGAAATCTTTATTTATATACCGCCTTTCACGGACCAGAGTCACCAAGCGGTTTACAATTGTTATTTTTGGGTACTTGCCCTCTCACTCCACACAGAGATGGGAGCGGGGTCGCCAGTACAGGAGGCGCATGCCAGACCTATTGTAAATATTTTTAGTGGTAGGGGAAACTGAAGTACCCGGAGGAAACCTACGCAGACACGGGGAGAACATACAAACTCCACTCAGAAAGGCCCTGGTCCGTCCGGGATTCGAACCCGTCTTGCTGAGAGGCGAGAGTGCTATCTACTCAGCCACCGGGCCGCCCGACACAATACATACTTAAAACTTAAATGAATAAGAAAGTCTCAAAAGTCATCTTGAAACTCTTTGGGCTTATAGAGATCAGCTGAGCGACTGTGGTTATCACTGCTTCACTTTTTTGTCTCTAAAAAGCTGGTCTAAAAATGTTCCTAATGATTATCGAAATCCAAGTGAATTAAACTCTATTCAGGTGGATCATACTCTGTGTTCACTACCAGAGTATTCACCGATGTGGAGAAGCATAAAACAAACCTGTTCAATGTTTGCCTGCAGCAGCTTCTCCGGCCACACGGACTCAATGCCTCTATTCACTCTCTGGCTCACGTTGGTGTGGCTCCATGTCAGCTCCTGGACACAGACACAACATTAGTTACATCTTTCAACAAACAAACACGTGTTTTTATCGTCACAGAAGACAGGACTTCACCTGCAACACTCGAATGGTGTCTTTTAGATGAGACTGGCAGCGCTGCAGCCTTTTCCTGTATTCATCCACCTCCGTCAGCATAATCTGTGGAAAAGAAGTGTTACCAGCAATTAAGTTAACAAGCAATGTCAAAGACTGACTCAAGCGAAGTCACTCGTCCTTTATAATTTAGTTTATATAATCGTGGGCCCAGAAATGGATTAAAGGGTAGAAAATGGATGGATGGATGGATAATCGTGGGCACCGTTTAGTTTGAATGATAGTAAGTAAGTAAGTTTTTATTTATATACCGCCTTTTCACTGCAGATCTGAGTCTCAAAGCGGTTTACAATTGTTAATTTTTTGGGCATTTGTCTCTCACTCCACACAGAGATGGGAGCGGGGTCGCCAGTACAGGAGGCGCATGCCAGAACTATTGGACATATTTTTAGTGGTAGGGGAAACCGGAGTACCCGGAGGAAACCTACGCAGACACGGGGAGAACATGCAAACTCCACTCAGAAAGGCCCTGGTCCGACCGGGATTCGAACCCAGGACCTTCTTGCTGAGAGGCGAGAGTGCTATCCACTCAGCCACCGTGCCGCCCGTGTCTTGTTTCGACACACACCTGCGTCTACTGGTGCATATGGTTCATTGAAATATATTCTCTGAAAAAACAATTCTTGACAAATGACTTCAATTACAAACATATTCATTTGACTGGATCAGCAAAAAGTCATTTTCTGTCAATATGAATATGAACATGAAATACTTGTCAAAATTGAATTGAGTAAAATGAGAAGGATTTGGATTTAGAAATCAGAAAACATTTTAACTCACTCTTCTTTTTGGTGTTTTTAAGCAACTATACACAATATCCGTTACTAATATTCATAGTGGTCGTTGTTTTGTTGAAGGTGATTGTTTCTTTGGGAGTGGGAGAAAAAATCTCTCTTTGAAACTGAATGAACACTGAACAAAACTATAAACAAAACATTTTACTCTCATTCATGAGCTCAACCTAAAAAAAGAATAAACTCTAAATATAAATGCTCGATAAACCCATCTCTATCTACAGATCTGTTTCAGTGAACACTTATTCTTTGCTGAGACAATCCATCCCTTCTCACAGGCATATAAATTAAACTGATTATACAAAATCAGTACTGATAATACTGTGCAATAATCACTGATTATTGCACAGTATCTTATGTGATCACAATAAGATTCCACTCTACGCGTTTTTATTGGGGTTCTGGAGGTGTCAGAAATCCTGTCAGTTTATGGTGTGACATGATTTTCCTCAGACAACCTCTATCAGGCCTGTGGAATGTTGATCCACTCTTAAATTTTATATAGGTTTAATCAATATATTCTTAGATCAAAATCTTTAGTGCTGAGTGTGTACTATTGTTTGGTGTCCATCGGTTATATCCAGTTACCTTGACCTCTGCCTGGGCGGACGGCAGCTCTCTGCATTCCTGCTCCTTCTTCTTGGAGAGTGTGACGCCGGTGTGCATGACCTCCAGCTGAGCCCACAGAGTGCTCAGACCCTGCTGCAGGTCACCCACACTGACCTCCAGAGCAGACTGAGCCTCCACCAGCTCACTGAGCGACAGCACCCTGACCACAGCACACATAGAGAACCATGAAATATATTTTCCATTGACCATGTAACAGCGATTTTACAAAGACACAAATGCAGAAGAATAAAACACATCCAATTGAACGACAATTGGTAAAGAAGTGACAGGATACAAACGTGTTCGTCTTTGTCCTACAGACACTGAACTCACCGCTGCTGAAGGTAACTGTAGATGCACCTCACTTTCTCCATGAGACAATCATCAACAATCTGTACAGTTTCTTCCGGGGGAGTGTCGGCCTCTTCAAGCATCTGAGAAACTGACTGAAAGTTAAAGGAAAATAATACAATTAGTAAATAAATAAAAAGACGGAGCTGCTTTTTTGTGACATTCAAACATTCTCCTTTGTTGTGGTTTTTCTTCATAATTGAACAATTGGTTGAAACCGTGAAGGTAATCACAGGATTCTACTATATAAAAACAGTTGTTAACTGTTGTAAAAGCAATAATGGAGACCTTATGATGTCTGCGGTGAGAGAGTGAAACACAGGAGATGACAGGCATCTGCTCTACACCATGTGTAATGTATGTATTTTAGTGGTATGTGGGGCAGAGCCTTTCACCTGCAGACTGCTGAGCAGAGCCTGAATATGGGCCACAGAGGGCCCCTCGAGCGGCTCCTGCAGCACACACAGGAGCAGACTGTCAGCTAGAACCACAGCAAGAGGCCCCGGTCTGCTCCATGATCCAGGACTGAAATACAATAACACTGTCAATAATGTGTGGAGCGTGTGTGTGTTAGTGTTTAATGTGTTTACTTTAAACATTAAGTTTCACCTTAAAGAGACATGGCGCACTTCCTTTTGTATTTGTTGAGTATGTTCTTCCTTGAATAGCAAACGAGTTAGCAGGTTATTTTTTCATAAAAAATAGCAATATGAAACAGTTCCAATTAAAAGTGTTTACCTTTACTTGCACATTTTGCACATGTTTTTGTAGGGCATAGGTGCCTGCAGCCAGCAGCATCCACACCAAGCAGAGATATAGAAGACCACTGACAGAAAGATATTGTTGTGTCTCCAGCTGACACATGGACCACACTCCAGCGACAGCAACTGCACTCCAGAGGTTTCTCCTGGGGAGAACCGCCCTCAGAGTGCTCCACCATGAGCTCAACTGGGACTCAGCATCTGCCAAAATCTGGGGCCACGAACATCTGGAAATCAGAAGCAATGTGTATGCCTAAGTAATTGTTTAAACATTGTATTAAAGTCAGTCATACAATAATTGTGTACTATTCGCCTTTTCTTTCATCAATAGCGGATATTTATAAAGTCCAAGCTTCATAGATTTAAACATTTAATGAATACACAAGTTATGCCAACAGCAGCAACACTTTGAAGTAGAAGTAACATATATATTTTTGAAATCAGCTCAAATCACAAAACAAGGAACAACGTACCCACTCAGCTCTGTCATTTCAAAGTCCTGATCCTCATCCACCGCATTAGTCCTGATTCGGAGTATGTGTAATTATACTATGTCCATTTTTATGTTTTGAAAGCAGAGACAATAGTCAACTAAGCCTGGGTAACACAATAGTCACAAGAGTAGAGTAGAGAGTAGAGTAAAGCATTGGTTTTAACGTAGGTGTGAAGCCCGCTGGACAGGTTGTTCTGGAGCAGCATTCTTGACAATGACAGGAATGTGTTAATAAACCGAGACCGATTGTATTAAGAATCAGCCCAACCCCTTACTCATAACCACAGCTGCCAAACCACACCCCAAAAAAAACACGCCATGGGAAGATTTCGCAATGACATTAAAGTTAATTTTAGGTGTAAACAAGAGGTTCATAACAGGCCTATGCTTTATAATAAGCTTGGCACAGTGGCTGAGTGGATAGCACTCTCGCTTCTGAGCAAGAAAGTCCTGGGTTTTAATCCGGGTCGGAACAGGGCCTTTCTGAGAGGAGTTTGCATGTTCTCCCCGTGTCTGTGTAGGTTTCCTCCGGGTGCTCCGGTTTCCCCTACCACTGAAAACATGCACAATAGGTATGAATGTAAATGAGAGTGAATGGATGGTGTTGATTGGGGGCTGATGCGCCAGTGTGTGCGGCGACTCGCTTCCATCATCACCGTGTGTGGAATGATTGGAACAATATCTGAACTCTGAACATTGTGAAGCACTTTGGGTGACCTTGGTCTGTAAAATGCGCTATATAAATAAACATTACTTACTTACTTATAATAAGCTTCATCAATAGACAGAAATCTGGCCAAAAACACTCTCATATTGTGGGCACAGTTTAAGTCATTTCACAATTTATTTTACCCGACACACAAAACAAGAAAAGACTAAATAAGGTTGCAAAGTCTCTGTACATGGTTTCATACAATTTATACAATATACATATGCAGGATTAAAAGCAAGCTGAAACCAGGGAATCCAGCAGAGCCACGAAGAGCCAAGACTAGTTCTACTAATGAAGCTAAATGTTATTGTATTCCAGCTTTCAATATTTACAAAATGAAGTGTGATAACACATCGTAGTTACTGCAAATATGAAATGTAATACACTGTAGAGGTAAGGTGCTGTTACATAGTTATACAAACAGTATAACTATCTGTCAGTTTTTTGTACGTAGCAGAAAAAATTGCTGTATCATGTCATCTCGTGAGGTACAGTCCAGCATAAATGCAGTTTACAATAAGATTTCAGACAAACTTGCTGTCATTGGAAATACAAATCCATATTGTGCAATACAGTAGAATAAAAAAGACATAAATAGTAAAATAATACTGACAAACTGCTTCAGTCTGGTCCAACTTCCTTCACTTTTAAAATCTCCAACCCGTAGAGAAAAGAATCTTGCATTAAACAGTTATATATATTGTTATCCATATGAAATACGCTCATCTTTTCGTGCTCAAACTACAAAAATAATTCAGTTCTGTCACACATTCATAGTCGAGCATCAGGGCTTTGTGATGTGCACTTCGCTGGCGCCGCTGCCGTTGGTAGTGGTCGTGATGATGTACTGCGGTGTGACCTGCTGATTGGCTTGCTGCTGCTCCAGGTGTTCTGTGTGACTCTGGGTCCCAGGTTGGGGAACAGCCTGTTTGGACTCCAGCTCAGCCTGCCCCTCGGAGATAACGTAGTGTGTCTGCAGAAAGAATGGATACAAGAGATAGATCACATGTTTAAATAGGACAATACAATTCAATACAAATACAATTGTAGCTCAAAAGGAGTAAACAGAAGCACAAGTAGTTTGTGACAGCACAGGTTTAGTAACACACGCTGTAGTAGGTGTAATTGTGGATTTAAGTTGGAAATACTGTGTCAGGTTTTATTGCCTTTTAGTGACTGACTTTTGAAAAGCAAAGATGTGCCGCTTGTGCATTTCAAAGGACAGAAGTCGAAGTCTGTTTGTTTTGGTAACCATGGACACTGAAAGAATCCAACATCTGAAAAGCAGACTGTATGGACCTTTCATTTGGCACATTTACTGCTGTCTCAATATGGCCGTACCATTTCCTTTTTAAGTTCCATGTTAAAATATATTCCTGCAGCTAAATTTAAATTTTCTTCGATATATATTGATTATTACTCATCCGGACTTAAATATAAGGATCTAGCCCACAGATGAATGTTGTCAGACATATATTTTATGTCTATACATTTATACATCTGTAATTACTTAATTCAAGCTGGAGAAACTACCAGTAATATGTTTGTCCCAACAGAAAAGAGTCTTGTTAGAGTAACATTTATTGAACAAATCAGACTCAACATGCTGTTTTGATCTCATTAGAAGACATGTGTTCTTCTTCATTCTGAAAACTTATCCAAAAATGTGACCTAACTAGTCAAGTGGTTTTGAGAGCGAGGAACTCATTACATAGATTTTATTACAATTATTATTTGTTTAGTTATTAGTTATTTTGTAGTTTCAAAGAAAGGTACACCATTTTAAGAGATAGTAACATTTTGTTTTCTTACCGTTTTGACTTGGTTACTGTTCACACCTGATACAGGAGTGCTGGCCTCAGCAATTACGTACTGAGTATGAGGTAGTGCCATCATCTGGATCTCAGACGCTATAATAGGTAAAGAGTAAACATTAGTTTTATGCAATTTAGTAAAGTGATATGAGTAAAAAAAATAGGCTTACAGTATCCCCTGTAGTTCCAGTTTCCCGGTAAAAACGCATGCTGCACTGCCCCCTGCTGCTGGGGCTGGCTACTGTTGCTCGATAGACTTTGAGACTGAGCTGGGGTCAGCTGAGAAGGACTCAACTCCTGATTGGTCTGCTGGGAGGACGGGCTTAGGGGCTAATCAAAAGGGAAACAAATACATAGTTAATTTAACTCATCACATCATAAATCCTGTCAAAGAGAAAATGACAAACAATCCATCTCACCTGTGCAGCAGCTTGCGTGTTGCCTGTTGGCTCGGTGACCTGAATGTGTTGCACTTGGATCGAATGCTGACTGTAGCCATGAGGGTCGTGCAGCTGGCTAACGTCAACAGCCTGGTGCTGAGAATGTGGGGAAGCCTGGGAAAAATATCAATACTTATTATTTTGCTTGACGTTGCATGCATGTAACTATTTTATACTGTATGAAAACGTATAATAAACAGTTAGAGGGCTTACCGGGGCGACCTGCACAACCTGTAGCTGAATGTGCTGTGGTTGTGCTAAACTGGCCCCAGCCTGAGAAACTGGGATGTATTGTATTCTTTGGTATTCTCCCTGCGCTGTTCGGTAATCTGTGGTCAAAGTCTGGGACAGCTCTGTCATTGCTTGTGTCAGCAGATCTGTGGTCTGTCAAAATCATGAATCGGGTTTTAAAAATAATGAAAGCATAAAATGACAAAGTTTTAATCACTTGTTGTAATGGACTCTCTTACCACCACGGCCTCGGTGGTTGATCCATCTGTGCTGATGACTGCAGGAGTACTACTGATGACAGCTGTGGTCAGTGGAGCCTGGATAGTATTAGCAAGCTGTGCGAACTCTGGGTGCTTTTTACGTATGTGCTGCACCATTTTAGTCTAAGAAAGAGCAAAAGTTTGTTAGGTGTTGGCTTACAGAAGCTCTATTACTCTATGTATTCATGTACCTTGCTGCTATACTGTTTTGCACAGTGGGGGCAGCAGACCGGAGCCGTGGCTATCGTCCCTGTGAGCTGGGTGTGCGTACTCAACATGGGATCTGGTTCTCCAGGAGCAGCCGGACGCAACTTTCGAATACTTGGAGGCAACTCAGCTCCTGGGTGGTTTTTTAGGATGTGAGCTTTCCTCTTGCTGGCACTTTTGTAGATCTATTAGAAGAAAGTTGATTTACGGAGTGCATAACTGTTCTCTCAGGGTAACACAATAATACCTTATCACAATATTGACAGAAGTAGTCTCTGTTGGGCTTGATAATTGGTAAAGTAAGTTCAGGCACATCATCGATTCGCATCTCAGGATGACGCTTGGATAAATGATTTACCTAAAGGAGAAGAATACAATTTAGTATGTTTTAATGATTAAGATGCTCTACTCTGGAGTGGTGTTTCTTAACCAGGGGGGACCCTAGGGGTAAGGGTATTTCAAGGGGTAATTTTCAAAACTTGCAAACATTGATTGTAAGAGGTTAATTTGGGCTTAAAAAGTCATTTCTCAAGAACAAAAATGTAAATGATTCCATCATACTACAAACATTGAATCCAGAACACAATTCATTAGAATAATAAGTCTGTCTGCTTTAACAAGCCATCTTAATGCTCAGTTTTGTTCATGTAGCCAACTCATTTTGTCTAAATCTAAAAGTCAAGTTAAATTCATTAAACTCATTTGATAAAATTCCTGTTTAATGTAAAACAAAAAACTAAACTAAAACAATCAGAATAATGATGGAGCAACTTGATATATCAGTAAAGCCGAAAAACTGTTTTGTCTTTTTTTAATATGTGAAAGGTACCTTCCTTAACACCAGCGGGTACCCATGCCCTGCCTGTGCAGGTGAGAAGGTACACAGTGTTATCAAGGTTGGGAACCATTGCTCTAGATCACTGCATACACAGGTGCCTGGAGTGTTCTACCATATAACATCAAATATTTTTCTCAAAGGCACAAGAAGGCAAAGTTACCACATGAACGTCTAAGGCGGCATTTACACTTATTGCTCAAGTGGACTTGGTTCAATTCAGAAGCCAAAGTAACTATCCTCACAACATCATTGAACAGTTTCAAAGCAAGTGAGTTCATTGAAGTGACAAGGGCAGCAGGGAACTCTTGTTTGGTGCTTCCACATCTCCACAAACAAAGCTTTATTAGCCCAAAGTGCGCCTGAGACAGCTTCAATTGGACCAAGTTTAGGTTCTCTTATCTTATCTTTGATCGCACCTCAGTAATGTCTAATGTTGACACTCACCAGCATCCCCCTGCGTCTGAAACCCATCATACACAGTCTGCATTTGAACATGAAGCTTTCGAAGTCTGTGGTGGGAACTTTCATTTTTAGAGCTTTGGAGCGGTGGATTTTGTCGGCCTTTTTGGCTTCTCTGTCTGGATTGTGCATCCTCTGCATGTGCTCGCGTAGTTTGTCTTTCCTCTTTGAAAAGTAAAAAGAAAAAAAACATAAAAATGGATACAACATCCACTTTTTGAACACATGGAACACAAGGCTTTACCGATAATGGATTTTATACCTTAAACTGTTTGCCGCAAGTTGAGCACAGAAAGTCTTTGCGGTCAGAATGGCGCAACATGTGCAGGCGTAGTTTGTCCGGTCTGCAAAAGGCCTTCTCACAATCTGGGCACTGGAAGATCTTCTCAGAATGAAAGCAGCGACTATGCTTTTTCAACTAAAAAGCAAACAGGAGTAAGTACATGAAGAGAACGCATGGTTTTCTGGGCTCAATATTAATGGTGAAACTTGGAAAATAAAGTTTATATACTTTGTACTCTGTAATTCAACAAATATTGTGAAACTAATATATTACCCATCGATAATTGGGTGAAAGCTTGTTAAAACCTTTAATAAAAACAGAGAATTTGAATATTTTGAAAATGGACTGCAAACATTATGATATGTCACCAATCACCAGGAGGAGAGGGGAACAGCACACAGGCCGCAACACATACTGTAATCCAAATATATGACAAAAAGGCTAGATGGATTTGTTTTTAACCCCTTACTTCTTAATTATAGGTCTCTACCGAATGGTTGAGATGCAGCATTGATGGTAAAAGTGCCTAAAGCCAAGTGATAGAGATGCCTCAATGAGGTAGATTTCACTTCCAAGCATGCTTCTTTTATATAATGACTCTAAAAGCCAAACCATTAAGATGATTTACAGAATTACATGAATTTTTGAACAATATTATAATTTCCAAGTTTCACCTGTAAATATTTCTCTAGAAGCTTTGTGCATGTATTTCCTATGAAGACTTCAAAAGTATCCACACCAACTAATTTTGCACTGACCTGGATAAAGTCAATAAAAGTCTTTTTACAGGAGGGGCAGGTGAAATAGCCATCGACCGCGTGAACGCCAACGTGATCTTTGAGTCCGTCCAGCTTCTCAAAGCTCTCTGGGCAGAGCAGACAGGAGTAGGAGCGGTTCTCCATGTGCACCAACAAATGTTCATCCAGAGCCGTGTCAGACATGAAGCTCTTTGTGCAAATGTGGCAAGGAAAGGCATAAGCGTCTCGACCGTGAACTCTCAAGTGCTGGTCCAGTTTGTCTTTATCCCGGAAAGCTTTGCCACAGTGAGAGCATTTGAACGGACGGAAACTCTTTCTGATGAAAAGGTGTTGGAGTGCAGCATTCTGTAAAGAGAATTCAGATCATACATTAAAAGCTTGTATCGAGATGATTTAATTATCCATAACATATAAACCAATCATGGTTGGGAAAACATCTTACTATGCATTATAAAACATTTTTCAACTATCCTTTCAGTCGTACCTACCTGCACATCTCCCTTTACAAGCAGCACACATTGAGGAAAAAAGACAATGGTGTAAATTCAGAACTAGGCCTCACAGGACATGGTGACAAAGATTGCATGAACATTCTTGTAATGGTATCGTCCAATAACAAGTAATAACTGTGACACACTCAAATATCACAATATTCTCTCATAAATGTTTTTATTATTAGATGTCCAGTATTTTCATCAACAATAACGCAATAAAGCCTCTCACCCTTATTTTCTTAGCGCGCCGCATGTCCTGTGACGTGAGGTGGGCTTCGGACTCGCTCTGTGAGGGGTCTTCCTTCAGTGTAACAGGGAGCACCATGTTAGCAGAGGCAGAATCGATCGCCGGTGTGAGCTCTGCCTCTGTTCCAGCCTCAGTCTCCAGTTCTACAGCTTTGAGCCCATTTTGAACGTCATCCAACTCATCCTCATTGTCCTGCTTTTCAGTCAGTTCCAACATCTCCTGTTAAAAACCAACAGCTTGATTTTTATTTGACAAAAAACATTCTTGATTCCACATGTGCTGTAAACCAGAGATTCTCAAATTAAATCATCAAACTGTGTTTTTTTTTGACAAATTCATATGTGGTTGGAATCTGAATCACTAATTTACTGTGATAGTTGAACAACTTTCACTTAAATTAGCATATTTTGTGTCAAACAATGATAATGTGAATAGTGTTTCGAAAAGTTATCTTAAACTCATCTTGCACACTAACCGTCTTCTCAGTGTCATCTTCTACTGCAGTTAGGCGTAAAAATTTGGCAGGACGTCCTGTTCTTCTTGCATGTCTCCTTTTGCCCCGTCCTCGTCCCCGTCCTCTTGGTCTAGAGTTAAAATCATTCATTACATTTTTTGGCTAAAAGTCAAATGAAAAGTGCAGCAGCAACAATACCTGGTGGCAGTGGATAACTTGTCGTCATGCATGTTCAGATGATGCTGTAGTTGCTCAGAGCTTATAAATCGTTTGTTACACTCATAACAAGGCCAGTTCCGCTCCAGCTCCCGTAGCACTGATAAAACACAAGAAACAATCACTAACTTCAGCTTACGCTTTAAGACGAGTTTCTACATATCATGTCAAATACCTTTTCTTTCTTCCTCTGTCACACTGTGGATTTTCTGATTGGCAAATTCAGCATACGATGATGCATACCACACCTGTGGACATAAAACATGTTTAAATATCTACAGCAACTGAATAATACATCTGATCACCATAAAACTAATGCTTTGCAGAACCGACCTTGAGCTCCTGTTTGGGTTGGACATTCTTGATAGTAGTGAAAAATATTTCAGAACCATACTGATAGGCCACAAGATTTTGCTCCAGATGGTTTTGTGCCGGTCTCACAAACATCATCCAATTACAGCTGTCCTCTTCAGACAGGTCATACCACATGTCACTCAAATTCTCTGCTTCTTTATCAGAATTCATTGAGCACAACTAAAGAATGAGAGTACAATTTCTTGGTCGTAAATAACCATTAATAGTTAAAGTTGAAGGACTTGAATATTGTGAGATGTGGTTGACCTACTTTCAGGTGGATGTAGTTGTCTTGAAGTTTGCTTTGAGGGACAATAGGCGCTTCCAAAGGCCCAAACTGTGTGCGCTTTGGGATTCGTCTTTTGCAGAAGACACCACCAATAAATCTGTCAATATAGAGGATTTGAGGGAGGCTAGCTCGTGCTTTAGACAACACAGGTCTGTTGGGAACAGCATGCAGAGGACCGTGCTTTTGACAGACTGAAGGGTTTGACGCATTGCACTCTTCACACCCTGTGAGAAAAAACAAGCACATGGTGGTTATAGGAAAAGGACACTGCAAGTGCGTTACTGAGAAAAAATACACAACTCACAGAGTTTAAGGGGGTTAAAGTCTTCATGCTGAGAAGGGGGTTCCCAATAATCCTCTGAATCGTCATCATCATCTTCATCAGACTCATCAGTAGAGTCTGCAGCAGCGAGGGGACTGGAGCGAGGATCAGCTATATCACTTATGGAGGTGAGCTGCTCCTTACAAAAGCCAACCATAACACAACCATTACAGAACATATTAAACATGATAATGCACCAATCAGACATGTTCTGACCTGTGCAACAGGGTCAAGGAGAGCTTGTGGAGCTTCTGCTACATTACTGAGAACATGCAGATTAGCTGTGTTCATGTTTTGGCCGCTGGGAAGTAAAACAACCTAGAATTGAAAATTACAAGATTAATATAGTATAAATTATCTATACTTATACAAAACATGTAATACGGTATACTTGTTGTGTTGCACCATCCTGCTGAATGTAGGCCACCTGTGGCTGGTCTGCAAATACGGTCTGAGAGATACAATAAGTATGAAAAAACAAAAACTAAAGAAAATGGATTACTGATTGAGACTCTTGATTACCTGAGATCCATCTGCAGGATGAATGTAGACCAATGTGTGCTCAGCAGACTCAACAGATGTGTAGGAGTTTCCATCTGCGGTGTAGACCACTTGTTGCTGTCGGTCAGCCTGATCGTCACTATACACAATCTGAGCGACAGTGCCCCCTTCAAAATGTACCTGCAACAAAGAATATGTGTATTTAAATAGTATTATTAAATGGTCCATGTATCCGTTTTCACTGTACTTAAAAATCGCTCAGTAAACAGAATACAGAGAACATGTACTATTATACTGAGACGTTTGTGAAATAGAAAGCCTATTGACACAGTGAGTTTGTAGAGATGAATCTGAAAAATCATGAAGACCCAAAGGCTTAAGTCTGTGGTCATACTTCCACGCCTCACACACCTGTGAGACACCTGAGTCGCTGTCCTGGCTCCAGACTGCAGAGGTCTCCTCCTTTGTTTCCATGTCAAAGTCCAGGCATTCACCTGCAGGCTAGCCCCTGACACTCTCAGAATTCCTGAAAATAATAATAGCAATCCATTTGTGCCAACGATTTGGAAACTACAAATAAAACAGAAGTATGGTACACTGTTAAACATGACTGCATTGACAATAACGCATACATAAAAGAGCAAGCAAACAAGTGGATTCATAACTTTATAATTCATTGTTATGAATATTGACACATAATTGCTACCCAAATAATGCAGTCACAGAAGTCTATGGATTGAACAGATAATGTTTGAAATTGTATTTATTTGTTTATGTGGATGAGACAGTGTATATTAATGCACAGCATGGGCTATAAATACACTAGATTGTAGCAATGTAGTTCATTTCCATCTGTAGTCACAGAGTCGCACGCACACAGACACGCTCATTCAATAATAATACCATGGACTCTTGGGTGACAGTTCAAGTCAAAATAACCCCACATGTGCGCGTGTGTGTGGGTGCGATCGCACAAGGCACTCGGCGGGGGTATGGACGAAGAGGCGGCCTATGTCTGCTTAACCAGGCCGCTGTAAAATGGTGCCTGTTCAAATCTTTTTGACGTTCAAATGCTTAGCAGAACAAATAACGTCTCCAAGAGCAAGCTATAAACAGGCAATATTATAGTACGATTGGTTATTTCAATCCCCCCTATTTTAACCCTGCAGGTTGTCGGTCCCAAACGGACCATACCACAAAAAGTGGCCTAAAGAAACCCGGGCATTCACAGTCCTCTAACATTAGCATTGCGCACACATAAGGCCACATAAAGGGTGACATGCTAAACCAATACTACTGCTAAATCTCCACCACGCCTGTATAATTTGCTAGTTTTATATGAAAGGGATTATTGTGCTAAAGATGGACCGGAATATGAAGCAAACCCACCCGTCCCCCATCCTAGTTGAGCCCAGCCCTTCTCACTGGAACAAGGAAGACCAGGCCGGCTCCATTTTGGGTGGTACTAACAACAACAGCTCCGCGCAGAGACACACGGTTCACAAAAGACATGATCTACCGCCACAACGCCCCAGAAATAACACCCACTGAGGACATGTGTTACCAGAGGGACTTCCAAAAATATACCTGTGATAGTTTTATTGTAGCACTCGTCCTAAAAGCGTCATTTTGTGGAAACCATAAAAGCCAGTCTTACCTCTGAATGGTAGCTGCAGAGATGGCCGCATTGCATAAATTAGCATAAGCTGCCTAGTAACCAAGGGCCGCGGTGCGTTGATTGGCTGTTATTTTAATTTTTAATTTTTAATTTTAAAATATAGTTGTTTAACTAACACTGTAAAGTAATCATAAAGATTTAAATATGGTATTATATTTCTTTACCTTTGTTTTTTGCAATTGTCCAAAATAAGTTGATGACCTGTCTATAGCCATATAATAAAATCTACTCCAATAAAACTGTCATACACCACAATTTCTACTTTAAACTTTGTAATTGTGTGGACTTTGTTACGAGTAATATAAATTAGAAATAAATAAATAAAAACTGGCCATGTAATATCAAATAACACCACAAGATGGCAGTATGGAACTTTTTAAAATGATCAGATATGTTTTCCTTCAACGTGATGAAAATAAGGTATCTATTTCATAACATACCAACTTTTCATTACAATATGACCTTTTATGTATTTATCAGGGAAAGTAGTGCACACGTTATACATATTTGCAATACAAGGGCTCTAATAAAAGATTAAAGATTGAATCTGATCTGATTATTTTAATTAAATATGTGGACATAGAATAGTGTAGAATCTCAAAAAAGTAATTAAAAAAAAATATATATATATGGCACACCAAAGTGTTGGGTATATAACACAACTTTAGGCTGTTTTTATCCTCCTCAGAATATACAGCTTTATGAACTTGCAGTGTTTAAAGCTGTTGTACCTAAATTAAGTTTTGAGATGGCAAACCACAAAAACTGGAGCTATATAATAAATATCCTCGCTGTACATTTGGTTGTATCACAGGTTGGATTTGGCTCTGTCTCAGCGACAACCAGCGCCATGCAAAAGATCAAATATTTGCTAATAAGATGAAGACAGCATGTGGTCTGAGAATATTTCACTTTTACAAGACTCTTTCGGCTGAAACAAAAAACCTGTATTATTGTTGCATCGTGGCCAGTAATTAAGACAGAGACATCTCGTATCAACTTGCACGTTTACTCCGACATCATGTAACAACAGGTTACAACGTGGTCAACGTTCAACACTGGCAAACCTCACTTGCCTATGCGATGGCGCCCTCTAAGGGTGAACGCCGGTATACTATTCTAGACAGATAATACACATGCTCTTATCAGTATATCACATCTCCCCCACCTTTAAGTGAACAACCCATAATACAGTCTGGTAACAATCAAAATTGTAAATAACAGTTTACAAGATAAACATGTAAATAAACTCAAAATCACTAAGAAAACCAAGTATTTAGCTCACTCTGTTGTAATAATGCACTCAATGAACAAAGTCTCTAAGATGAACAGGTATACGTTTCTCCCTAATGGAACGTTTCTTCACTGTCTCAAAAGGTAAAACGGAAACACCCTTGCTCTCTGGGCTAAGTGGTAACTCTGACACACTATTTTCACTTGTAGTGGCCTGATCCGGAACAAGGTTTGGCTGTTCTTGTACTGACTCAACAGTAATTTGGTTACTCTCTGGAAACAATGGTAAGGAAACCTCTTTCTCCGTAGTTAACTCTGGATCGGACATTCTAGATCTAACCTGATCTACATGCCTTTTCATCACCTGACCAGACCCAATAGTAACTGCATAAGACAGTGGTCCTGAACTATCCTGTACCACACCAGGAATCCATTTTGGGCCAAAGGCATAATTCCTGATTAGAACATCATCTCCTGCTGCAAAGTTCCTTTGTTTGCTGTGAGTGTCATGATAATGTTTTTGTTTCAGCTGCTTTTCTTGCACTTTTGTTTTCAAGTCCGGAACCACTAAATCCAAAGCCGATCTCAGTTTGCGTGACATCATCAACTCTGCGGGTGACAAACCTGTAGTGGCGTGAGGTGTAATTCTGTAACTAAACAAGAATCTTGAAAGCCTTGTTTGTATTGTCCCTTCTTTCATCTTTTTCATCCCCACTTTGAAAGTTTGAACTGCTCTTTCTGCAAGTCCATTTGAAGACGGATGAACCGGGGCTGACCTCACATGTCGAATGCCATTTTGTCTCATAAATGTTTCAAACTCTCCACTTGTGAAACAGGTCCCGTTGTCTGACACAAGCATTTTTGGCAAACCAAAAACACTGAAACTTTGTCTGAGCTTCTCAATGGTAACTTGAGAAGAGCTTGTCTTGGTAGGATAAATATCCAACCATTTGGAGTGAGCATCCACTATCACCAGGAACATTTCTCCCAGAAACGGTCCCGCATAGTCCACATGAATCCTCGACCATGGACTCTCAGGCCATTCCCATGGGTGTAAAGGTGCTGGAGCGGGTGCCTTTTGGTGGGATTGACACTCATGACACGCTCGAACCGTTTTTTCAACATCATGATCCATTCCTGGCCACCACATGTACGATCTGGCCAGGCCTTTCATTTTTGTCATTCCACAGTGCGTTTGATGTAGTAGTTTGAGCATTTTATCTCTTCCTTTGTTTGGAATTACTACTCTTGCCCCCCATAGAACACAGCCATCTCTTACACTGAGCTCCATTCTTCTCTGGTGAAAAGGTTTAAGACTCAGCTCAGTAACTGTAGGCCATCCTTTCAGAATGTATTCATGAACTTGTGATAAAATAGTATCTTTGGTAGTCCAGTTCTTTATTTGACTCGCCTCAATCAGTGTCTCATCCAGTACGTCCATCATTAAAACTTGCTCAGTTCTCTCCTCCTTCCTTAGTTTGACCGGTAGAGGCAACCTGCTCATTGCATCCGCATTAGCATGATTTTTTTCCTGGTTTATACACGATTTGATACTTGTATGCACTCAGTTTTACAGCCCACCTTTGAACTCTCGGCGATCCCATTTGTGGTATCGGTTTCTTTTCATTAAACAGATAAATTAGCGGTTTGTGGTCTGTATAAATGGTGAAGTTGCGCCCGTACAAGTATTTGTGAAACCTTTCAACACCAAATATGACAGCAAGCCCTTCTTTGTCTAGTTGAGAGTACCTTGTCTCAGCCGGTTGTAACGTACGTGACATAAATCCAATTGGTCTTTCACTTCCATCTTCCATGACGTGTGATAACACCGCACCCACTCCATAAGGCGAAGCGTCACATGATAACACCAGCTCACGGTCAGCTGAGTAATGTATCAAAACATCATTCGTGTTCAACATGTCTTTAGCATTTTGAAACGCTTGTTCTTGCTCTGTGCTCCATTTCCACCGAACATCCTGTCTTAGTAGTTTGTGTAAAGGAGCCAACCTTGTTGCCAGGTTTGGTAGGAACTTATTGTAATAATTGAGCAACCCCAAAAACGATTTCAACTCAGTCACATTTGTAGGGGCAGGAGCATCTTGGATTGCTTTGACTTTTTTATCCAGAGGATGTAATCCCTGTGCATCAACTCTGTACCCTAGGTACTCCACTTCATTCTGCATGAAGGTGCACTTGCTCCTTCGGAGACGAAGCCCCGCCTCCTTCAGCCTCGACAACACAGTATTCAGATTATGTAAGTGATCTGCTTCATTTACCCCACTCACTAAAATATCGTCCAAATAGACAGATACGAGCGGAATCCCAATTAGTAGACTCTCCATTGTCCTTTGAAAAATGGCTGGAGCCGAAGCCACACCAAATGGTAGTCTATTGTATGTGAACAGCCCCCTGTGCGTGTTCACTGTGAGGTATTTCTTTGACTCGTCATCCATGAGTATTTGTTGGTAAGCATGACTCATATCCAGTTTTGAAAACTGTACGCCTTTTGAGAGGGCATTGAACAAATCATCCACTCTGGGTATCGGATATTGCTCCAGAGAGGAAACAGTATTTACCGTTAGTTTGTAATCCCCACACAACCTCACTGAACCGGTAGGCTTCAGTATTGGTACCACTGGAGCGGCCCAATCAGAGTATGTCACTGGTGTGATAATGTCTTCTTTCAATAATCTGTCAATTTCCTCATCCACTTTTCCTTTCATGGCATAAGGAATTGACCTGGGTCGGAAAAATCGGGGTACAGCATTTTCCTTGATGTGAATTTTTGCTTTAGTGCCCTTTAATGTTCCCAATTCATCCTTAAACACAACCTCATTATTGCACAGCACTTCCCGCAGTGTTGTCTTCTTCCCTGAGTGGACATGGTGAACCTGACGAGCTTCACGCCTGGCTTTCACCTCCTTCCAATCCAGCTGAATGTCCTCCAGCCAGCCTCTGCCCAGTAGAGTGGGACCATCCCCTTTGACAACCACCAACGGCAGTTTGGCGGTTTGCTTTTTATATTTCACTTTCACACGTGCGGCTCCCACTACTTTCACTGGATCTCCTGTATAAGTTTCCAACTTGATTTGTACTGGTTTGATCTGTGGTGTTTTGTCTTTTTCCCACATTGTTTGAAATGTCTTTTCGTTCATCACTGTGAGACTGCACCCTGTGTCTATTTCAAAATTAACTTTTTTACCATTCACTTTCAGGGTCTCTGTATATGGATTCACTTTCCTCAAATGTATTTCACTCATGCGTCCCAGTTTGAATTCCATGCACTGTAATGCAAAAGGACCATCTTCAGAGCTGTCGGAGTTGCTATCTTCTTGTTCTTGGACATTATGTGAACGATCTCTTGAGCTTTTTCTTTCCCTTATGAAAGCACCCGATTTTCCTTTGCCTTTGTCCTGTTTACTCTTATTACGACATGCTCTTGCAATATGCCCCACTTTTCCACATGCATGACATTTTTCTTGTTTAAACTTACATTCAGTCGCTTCGTGTTGTCCTTTACATAGACGTCGGAACTATTTTCTGAGAGGGGGGGCGGGTTTTTGTTGGGAGAGTCGAGGGAGAGACTCATACTTGGATTACACTGGATAATAACATACCATCTTAATTGTTAAGAAAAACAAAATAAACAATATATATCAAGCAAGTCACTTATCAAACTGAACTTTTTTTTTTTCAATACGCATTCATGCGTCAGTCTCTCCGGTGGCTTCATTGTGTTGTGTAGCCCAGTGACGTGCGGTCAGATGAGGCAGGCAAGGCCCTCACCTAAGATCATAGAAAGAAAAGTAATAAAATGGATACAATAATGTTTGGTCACTTTATCAAGTGATTTGTGCTGTGCCTTATTTCATTTATTTATACCTTGAAATTGCAGATTTGACAGAGCGGTGCTGTGAGGCAGCCTCTCTTGGGAGACGTAAAAAGCAACAGCTCACAGGGAGAGTCCTGTGAGGTGCTATCAAACTGTTTTCTCTGTTTATCACAGTTTAAAAAGTTCAAAAATATTTAATTTACAATCAACATGTTTACATTTAAGAGGATGGCTCATAAATTGTGTTTTTGAAGCAAATATGGGTCTTAATCGCGCTCAACCACAGCTTGTAAGTGAGGAAAGCCTCAAGGGGGCGCTTGTGAGCCCAAACTTTGGCTGCATCCAATTCCATCAGAAAGCTCCTTTCTTGTTCTTCTTCTGCTAAGGGCAGCTACAGGTTTGGCTAACATACCTATAAATACATTTTAAGATAATTTAAAATGCACTTAGAGTAATGTTTTGCTTCCAATGATGATATGAATCATAAGAAAAGGAGGTGAAGGGTAAGGTTGAATTTAGAAATTGGATTTACCCGGGAGTCGGCTGCAGCAAAACTCGCAGTTTACGGAGGAGACACCCGTTTTTTTTACTTTTTAAAACTCATTGAACTTATTTCCAAATGGAGGATTACATGTCTGTGCTCAAACTATTATCTGGAATTAAACATGAAACTGGTCCTAACTGAAGTGGTCTGTGCTGTTCATTAATACCTAAGGTAAGGCCCATAACACACTTTGTACTTTTTACAAACGTTTGCGTTTTGTATGAGAAAACAATGCAGACATTAAATCATATTCTGCTGTAGCCAAACAAATTGTGTATAAGCCGCTCCTGTTCCTGTAGGTCCTGTTGGTTTATATGATGTATAATCATATGAACACATGATTGATCCCCCACCGCACGTCACTGGTGTAGCCAGGTCTTTAATCTGCGCAAGGCTGAGAAAGAGCGCTCAGAGGCTGCGACAGATATTAGCCAGACAGAGCTTCATAAGCTTCTCCGACAGCATGGAGCGGGTTTTGGGCTGCAAGGAACGCAGGATAGTGATAACTTCTCGCTCCCGGCACACGCGGAGGGGGTGCGGCCGCACCCCCCGCACCCCTAGTTCCGACGTCTATGCCTTTGCATCGGTAACATTCCTTCATAGCGGCCTTGAACGCACCAGTCCCCCGCTCACGTGCGCCTTTGTTCATCTTAAAACACTTTGCTGCTGCGCTGGGATTCTGGAGATCATGTGCATTTTTATTAGCTGTTTCGGCAGCAACTGCAATGGACATCGCTTTTTCACAGGTTACATCTGTTTCTGCCAGAAGTCTCCTTTGAATGCGGTCATCGTTTATTCCACAAACAAGCCTGTCTCTTAACTTCTGCTGTAACGTATTCCCATAATTACAATCCTGCGCCAGCCTCCGCAGCTCGGCCACGTAATCCATAACACTCTCATTCTGGTTACGACTACGGGAATCAAACTTGTACCTCTGCACGATTTCACTTGGTTTCGGGTCAAAGTGGTTTTTCAGCAGCACCACGAGTTGATGGTAAGTTTTCTCTTTCGGTTTCTCCGGGCTGAGAAGGTTACGCATTAAACTGTAAGTAGATGCGCCGACCACGCTGAGGAGTATAGCTCTTTGCTTATCTCCGTCATCAATTTCGTTGGCCTCAAAAAACTGCTCCATTATCTCACAGTATTCTTCCCAGCTTTGATTTTTAGCATCAAACGCCGCCAGAGTGCCAATGGTCGCCATTACGTTTCGTTTTTAGTTGCTTTCGCCTTCTCCTCTCCCCCTTACTTGCTCCAACTTTGCCCCCAAAATCCTTACTTCTCAAAAGTATTCATCCTCGTCGCCAAAAGATGTTGCATCGTGGCCAGTAATTAAGACAGAGACATCTCGTATCAACTTGCACGTTTACTCCGACATCATGTAACAACAGGTTACAACGTGGTCAACGTTCAACACTGGCAAACCTCACTTGCCTATGCGATGGCGCCCTCTAAGGGTGAACGCCGGTATACTATTCTAGACAGATAATACACATGCTCTTATCAGTATATCACAATTATTTTTGGGGGAAAGTCTGATACCCCAGCTTTCAATTTGCGGGAGAAAAAGAACGCACCCATTACAACCGCACGTTTTATTTAATGTATTACTAATTGCTCGATGCAATTAGTAATACATTAAATAAAACGTATTATTAGTCAACAAAAAAACAATCAACAAGAAACATAATTTCTTGTTCAAAGTTGTATTATTTTCGCCTTACTCCGTTTACCAGTCGATATGTGTTCTGTCCACACGGGGGCGCAGTGTGGTGTTTTTTTTATTTTTTTTATTTTTTTCCCGGGGCAGGACCAAACCATAGACCAAACTCTTCAGACCAGGATCGGGATCAGAGGGAGCTGCACATACAGAGCTGCTCACCACAATCGCGTTTCTCTCAGCTACAAAACAAGCGGGCACTTTGGTCAATTATTCCCAGGACACGACCCCCTCATTCTTCTTACAATCGGGAGGCTTTTCCACGCTCCAAGGATATAACTTACTCAGAACAACACGCTTCTGAACATGGGTCCAGTCCCGGCGATATCTGTCCTGTTTTTGGGCATCGTGGTCCCTTCCTTTGCCGCCTATATTGAGGTATGTGATGTGTTTATTTTGCGTGAAATGTCTTTGCAGGTTGTTTTTATTGCGACGTAAATCTGAGCCTTGAAAAAAATCTACTATACTAATACAAGGGCCGGGTAGTGGTCTGTGTGTGAGTGGGGCGCTTTCACATTTTATTTTAAAGATGTTGTATGTATATGATTTAACGTGGCTCAATGTGTAGTAGTACTAATAGTAATTGCACATGAATACACTATTTATTGTGAGAGGTGTGTGGGCTGCAAAGTGCTTGTCCTGGTGCCGCAGCCTGTGTGTGAGTTGGACTATAATGTGAGGGCCCCGGAGGTGCTCTGTGATACCCAGTTTACTGCTGCTGCTGCTGCTGCTGCTGGTGGTGGTGCAGGACTCGTATAGAAGACAACAGGTGCTTTGTCAGGGCAAGGAGACCCAAGACCCTGCACTGTGACACAATGGACAAGTATTAAGACCATTAGTCCTGTTACATGAAAGTTCTCTAAGAAGGATTAGTCTATGCATGGATGTCAAAATATGGAAGTTCAATGGGGAAGAGGGATGAGGCAGGGTTATTTGATCTTGCCATAATTCATGGAGGCAAATTCTCTGCTTGTGTTCTCTATAGTCTACAGCCAATTGCTCTAGACTCCCTGGTTGAGAGAGATCACCTGCAACAGAGATAAGTCCTTAGTTGAGACTTGAGAGGCTGTGACCTTTTGCATTGTAGGCAATTTTTGGTCGGTGTAGAATAGAATTTTCAGGCGCATTCACTGTTGGCTCCAACTGAACCAGAGAGCATGTAATTGTAATTTGAGTTAGGTCACTTTGGAAATTGCAACGAGGACTATGTTGCATTTGCTTCTGGAGTGTGTTTCAGCTTTGCTGCGTTTCCCTTTTGCTGCAAACTGAACCGAGTCCACTTAACCAGTAAGTGTGAACGCGCCCCCAGTGTGTGCACTGCAATCAATGGTACCAATTCTCTTTCGGCTCTTGTTTTTTTCTTTTGTTTTTGCTCTTGCGCCTTTCCTGCTTCTGTCTCAGAAGGAAACACATCCATTTTTAGACCTCAATCCCACAGCTGCAGTATTGCAAGAGCAGTGTTGAATCTTAAGACCAACATGGGCAACTTGACATGGTGACCAATTTTGGCATTTTTTCTTTGCCAGCATATTATTTTTGACCTTACTTAATAGTCAAGAGCTTGTATAGACTGTTCTCAATTCAAATACAGGTCTGTGAATGGAAAAAACTGCAGGAAAGATCATAGGTAAAGATCATTGTCACATCAGTAAAACGTCATTACAGATTCATGGAACTATTGTAAAGCTGTATGTTTACCTGTTATGCCGAGGACCCAAGCCACATCATAAACCTTTATAGGTCATCTAGATTAGATTAGCCTTTATTACACATGTAGGAAAATATATTCCGAGAATTTGACCCTCTAAAACTGTCTGGAGCCTTGGTCACCCAGGAAACCTGCTTAAAATCTTGATCTCAGTTTGATCAGGACCTGAGCTTGTGATGTTTTACCTCTTGGGTCAAACTAATACCCTATAAACCGTGTTTTCCTCGAATTGCGGTACTTCATTTGGAGTGATTCTGATGGTACCCGGATCTCTCTGCAGTTCAATGAATTACATGATGATCTTTTGGATTGAAATTGTTTACAGATGTTGTCCTCTTTTTGGTTAATCCTCAAATATATATTATTTTAGACCAGTCCAGAAATGCCCTTTTTTAGACCTGATGTGGTGGTGCTGGTAAGGCCATATTTGTTGATAGTCTACCTAAGAATAGTAAGATAGTTTCTATGGTGGTACTTGATGTGGAAAGTTTGAGAATCTCTGTCATAGAAGCACTACGCACACATGCTTTCCCCATTGTTCCTCCGTTTGTTTCGCACTTCCTTTCTTTGGGACGTTACCTCAGCTGTGTGCACGCCTGTGTTTAGTCAGATAACTGAGTGTGCCTGATACAAGCTTTTGTTTCCTCAGCTGTGATTTCTCTCCCACATCACAACTCCATGATTCCTTTATTAAATCCTTCATCATTCATTCTGCTCATTATAGTTTGAGTATAGCATCGAGAGTGGCAAAGAAGTGCGAATCTGTTAAGGCATTACACAGCTTCAGTGTGTTCAAGACCATTAAGCACAAGCGTACACACCCCATGCAGTTGTAAACCAGTGGATTGCATCACCGTGAGGCATTCGCTGCTGATACGAGTCTCTTTGGATTAATGGAATACAGAATATGCAAAGCACTTAACACATTAAGGACATTTTATTCTCTGCTATGCTGACATAAGCATATAATCTCTATCCAAGCTAAAAGTTATGCAACGCTACCCAACGTTGTCTGGGAGCCTAGTGCTGTCCAGCTTTTGTTTGTGCAGTGGACAGGGCAGGGCTGCACGATAATGAGGGGAAAAAAACTTTAATTGTCAGGGTGTTATAACAATATATAATGTGATGTTTTCTTTCTTTTTAAGAACTAGTATGTGGCTGTTGTTTTCGTGAAACTCTGACAATTAGAAAATCATTCAGAAGTGATTTTTTTAAAATTTAAATTACAATGTGAAACCAACATGATAGAGGTATTCCATGCAAGGCGACAACATATTTTTTAGTATTATTTTATTTACTTTATTTTTTTCAGCTGTGAGCCAATTATCAATATTATAATAAATAAAGGCTTAATATATCTGACCTTACCTGTAATGAGTCATATTAGTTTCACATTGTGAGTTGCATTTACAGAAGGGAATGGAATTTTTAACAATATTCAAACTACATACAATTATTGCACAACTTTTGCAATATCAAAATTGCACTTGCCATTATTGCTATAACAATATTTTTCTGATATATTGTGTAACCAGAGTAGACATGGACAACAATAATCATGTTGCAGTTGCCATCTTTGCCATCTGATGAAGCGACTAAGACGACTTGTTTGAGGCTGATTGCTAAAAGTACTGCTCAGTTCTTATTGCTGTTGTATTGCAGCATATATTCCTCTTATCATGGGGCGTGCGGTGCGTGCCTGACTGCGATTGCAAATAGACCAGCTGCAGTGACATTAAAGTCCACTTGTGTGAGCGCAGACGGGGAACAATCGCATACAAATTCCCCCCGTCCCTTTGTTATTGTTGAGTTAGGGGCACTAGAGCTGGCATTTTAGGAGCCACAATATAATTCCTCCTGTGGGTTCTTTGTGCGTTTCTGAATAGGGGGGGCATTACCATACAAGCTTTGTTTAGCCTGCAGAAAGACCAAAACAATGACTGCCATTTACATGCGATTGTCGATATGTTTTAAGGTGAAGTGTACTGTATTTAAAGCAGTATGCGTCTAGTCATGGCCGTTTCACCTTTTTGTGTTTGCTGTGTCGATCAAGTTAAAGTCATCCATATGCATGCCATCAACTGAGTGGGTCTTTCCATGAATTTGTAGATTAGCCTGTAAAGTCTTGCTTTCAATTGCTGGGACAGCCCGGTATCCTTGTGAATCCTCTTAGCGACAAGAAACACTGGGTATAGATCTGAGACGCACTAATCCTCAGCTCTACTCTTCACTGACTGCACGTTCTTGCTCCCTTCACACACACACCCACACACACATACCCACACACACACACCCACACACATACACACACACACGCACAAATTGACCTGCCCAAGCTTCTGAACTCAAACACCGGCTGTCTGCTCTGATTCTCCACCTCAGCTCGTCTCACGTGCTTTGTACCAAAATTGGATTGTTAGCCCAATAACAGAATGTCAATGTATCACAAGTTTTTATTGAACGCTACATTTTGGGATTAGGTTGCTTTCATGTTGCAGAAGTCCATTTCAGTTTGAGGGCAGGTGTTAAAACACCTCTAAAGAAGCAATCATGGAAAGGATTTTTGAAAAGGAATATGTCCAAAGGTTTTTACCAGATCATTATTTGATAGTGATAAGATTGAGAAACCCGCCATATTATTCTTAAGTGTAAAAGTCCTTCCTACTGGCCAGCCTCATACAAAGGAAATGTAGAACTGTCTAATTTCTGGGCCAATCCACATAAAACAAAAAACTGTCTCAGAGAAATTAGCTCCAAACTAAAACAAGAAATCTGACTTTTGACGTTTACCATATTTACCAGGACATATTTCCCAGCTATCGTCCACCTCATGGATACACTGCAGGCTCTTTGGAATCAAGTGATGTCGCATGAACACAATCTATTTGACTGTATCGGATTGTAAAAGGCGGCACAGTGGCTGGTCGCTTCTCAGCAAGAAGGTCCTGGGTTCGAATCCCAGTCGGAACAGGATCTTTCTGAGTGGAGTTTGCATGTTCGCCCTGTGTCTGCGTAGGTTCCCTCTGGGTGCTCCGGATTCCTCCTTGTGCTCCGGTTTCCCCTACAATTAAAAACATGCACTATAGGTCAAATCTGGTGGTCCTGATCAAGAGCATCTGGAGATGGGTCCGGATAGATGCCCTTGTGGCATCAGAATGGGTCAAATACAGAGGATGAATTGCTCTACGGGGATAAATAAAGTGCACCTTTACCTTTTGAAAACCACTTGTCGGATCCCAGAAGCTAAGCAAGAAGAGGCTGGGTTTGTAGCGGTGAGAGTATCAGGTGCTTGTTGGGCAGCTGTGGATCTACTGCAAACTGTTGTGTCCTCAGGCAAGAACATAACCTATTTTGCTTTGAATAATTCCGGTGTGTGTTCTGTGTCAATGTCTCTCTGTATAAGTTTTAGTATTGATACCGGGTATAGATTAAAAATAAACTAAGCTTACAAGCCGAGTGTCTAATTAACTCTAATTGGTCAGTTAGTGTCTCCAATCATGATTCATTCTTCATTCTTGACCAGAAAAGTGGAAATTTATGGATGGAATATTGAAAGTGTGGCGTGTGTGATGGGGGATTGGAATCAAGTAAGCATTTGCTATTCAATAATGTGTTGTGCAGGTAAGGAAAAAAATATACGAGCAATAGAAATAATAATAATAAAAAGAAT